CACTTAGACATTGTTTCGCTAATTAAGTGGAACAGTTATTAAGGTGACTCTCACCGTCAATAGGCCAGCAACGACATAGAGTTGTATGGCGCGACATCGTGTTTTCACGTTCTTGAAGAGCGAATTCAAGCTTTGCACGCCATTCCGAATTCGGTAACCTTAGACAACATTATTATACGTCTTAGCCACCCTCAAAAATTGAAGATACCGTTTAGAATTGAATGTGTCAACGCTTCGGAGCACTCCCACCTAAACGCATACATACGGTGACATAGAGACGTTAAACTTGTATCTGCTTCTAATTCGTCTATGCAACGATTCGAGAGCTCCACTCGGTGGGTTAGTTGCCATTTCTAGTACCGGTACCAGCCAACAACCCGAAACCTGCGGTCTACCCGCGTGAGGTATTCTACTCCTCGGGAGGCCGGGCATGTTCAGATCACAGTGAGTTGGCCTCCAAATAGAGCCAGCAGCCACGATCTCGCACACTCACTCTCTCGGGGGTCAACTTGAAGTGAGAGCTGAGCAGAGGAAAGTGCATTCTTTACTTCAATTTACCGCGTTCGCCCACCAGACCGCCCGAAAAGGTGGGGGACGGATGTACTTTTGCTGTCCACTCGCCTCCAGACGCCAAGGTATGGATACGGTCGAGATCTCCGCGCATGGCTCTGTACTGTGGAGAATAAGTGTCGAGAGTGTAAGCGTGCGCGCGGTAGGCACGGAGGGTCACGCGTACGCGGCCGTGATTGTCCGCGCGCGAAAAGAAGTGAGTCGACCAGCCGAAATTCCTTGACAGAACGTCGACGAATCGCTCAAGACGATTTCCGCCGCTAACCAAGCAATGCCTTACTCTCTGCTCGAACAAAGGCGGGAATTCGGCGGCATAAACAGTTTAGACAGCGTCGGCCATTGAGGGTCAGCCCAGGCGTAGACAAATGGCCACTCGTATGATTAATCATCACACCGACATTGCTTCTCATGGTCGCGTAAATTCTTCTTTTAGCACAAGAACGATAATTCTACACGCAAAAAAGTGGGCGCAAAGAAAAACTACTCGTCGTCACCTACGAGAGCAGTCCTGTAGAGCCGATACATGTTACCTAAGTTCATCATGGTCAGCCACTATTCTGCGTCAGTCAAGGACTTGCTTCACTGAACTGTTACCGGATTTACGTTTCCCGAAGAATAATATGGCTACTTATTACCTACGCGTGCCTCCGCGACTAATATGCAGCTATTTCGAAACGTTGGCACAAAACGTCAAATATGCCCGAATTTAAGAATATTAGTCACTGGTTATACCTTCAGGGCGAATAAAGATAACTTCTGAGGATGATAGATTTGTAGTTTTTGGGCCACTGATCTTATATTAAATGCCTTCGACCGCGAGGTAAATCTCCTTCAACCATTCTGGAGAGAAGTTTCAACGAGCTTTCATCATTCAGAATTACTCACTATTGAAGGAATTCGCTCCGGCTTAGGTCGTGTTTCTTGATAAATGCCCTGATCTTCCTGAAATGATGTCGTCAACACACACACCTGCAACAGTGATAATTCTACTTGATTTCCGTCCTCGTGTTGACATTTCATCGTCCACCCGTCCTTCAATGGCGCTATCAGACAGAGCAGTACTAAATCTTGAATTGATATCATTTCTTTGTTTGTGTGCTCATTGTCCCTTATAATGCAGGCGATCAAGGTCTCTCCACCAGTATGTCTCTACTTGACATTTCGCATTTCTCGAAAGATTCCTCAAAAAACGACGAGGCCCCGGCCGGGCCTTGACCAAACCATACGCTACCACGAGAGAATCGCTCGCACGTTGACTGTAACAGCGGTCGAAGTGAAGGCTCGCCGACTTGTCGCGTAAATTTTCTAAAAACACATGATCACCGAAACGGGAATGACAAATACTCACATTTGATGACTCCTCCCCTTCGAAAAACAGAACATCACAACACACACTACCACACAATATAGACGACGGCCTCCAAGTGAATCTGCTAAGTAATGGTTCATAGTGATAGCTGATATTTGTAGTAAATGATAGTTGCAATTACTGCCAACTGATCGAAATACAACTGTAACAGGTTAATCATTTCATTGGCAAAAAACATTTGCCATTTTCTAGAGGCCGTCGTCACTTATGGTGTATGGTCTGCACCCGACACTGTTCCTGGCCTTTTGAAAGGGGCTTATCGTTGCGGGTCAATCTACTTCTGATCGTAGGACACTTCCCGCTTCAATCGTATTTCGCGTAGAAAAGTTATTTAAGACGATACTGGAATCTAAGCCTTAGAAATCAGTTGGAGGCTCTCGCATAACCAGCATACTTGCCCTGCTCCTTGAGTTGAAGGGTCGTTTTAATGCCAAAGGCTGTTGCCTCACTTTAGTGCACCGACAACAGATTCCCTGCTCGCAACCCCAGCAGTGTTTCGAATAGCTCTAAAAAGATATTATGACTCAGAAGGATCAGCTTTTTCGTGAGTACGGCGCCTGAGACCCTTTGAGTATTAACAAATGCAGAACTACCCACAAACAGTAGACTCAAGAACCCAAAGACGGTAATTTTTCCCAATCTCACAACATCTATACAGACGGGTAGATCAGTTAGTTTTCTCAGTTTTGTGGCTTGAGAACAGATTTCAGTTTTGTTATCATATTATTTATGTGCTCAAACAAGGAATAATCCATTCAGCAATAAGATGTTTTTTTCCTCACATAAAAAAAAACCTTGGGCTTGAAGAGTTAAACATCTGACATCACTCGTCAGAAACAATGGTGTCATGCGCCCGTCCCACAGCGGCCGTAGCGCGCCCAGGACTCTGACTGGTCGAAGGTACTCTGGATCCTACCAGGGTCAAGCGAGGCGTTGAGGAAAATTTGGAAATACGACCCCCCCCCCACCACCCTCCGCCGGAGGCCGAAGTCCATGAAACAACCCTCTTCAAAAGCCGAACTATGAAAAGGTTGAAAAGCTTGTTTAATTCTCCCCCAAAACTGCTCATAAAAAAGCCCTGCTACCCCACCACCCACAAAAAATTCGTTTAAAAAGCGCATGCTACCCAATCCTACTGCTACCCCATCGTCCACAAAAAAAAAAACTCGTTTAAAAAGTATAAAAGTGAAAAAGTCAAAGAATGATCATTAATGACGAGTCCTGTCAAACGAGCAAACGAGAAACGGAGCAAAAAACGTCAAACTAGTCACTAGAAATGGCGTACTATGACAACACCTCTTCTTTGTTTATTTCCTCCACAAGACTTACCAAATTCTAGTACTACACAGATTATGGTTCTCAATTTACACGTCCCCCTTTCGCTCAAAGGAAGCCTTGTAAAAGCCTTCGCCAGCTGTGTGTTGACTGGACTTTGGCGTTGACCGTGGAGCAGCTTATTTACTATTGAAATTTGAACAAATATTCAAATGATTATAACTTTCTTCAAATATGACGAATTTTCAATCTGAAAGCAGATTTGGAAGTTTTGTGAAGAGCTTTTTCTAATCAGTATTGAAATTACAAAAAGTTATAAGAAATAACAAATTTAGGTCAATTAACGAGGAAAATTCGAGATGAGCACGAGTTTTTACACTTTCCGAAGCAACAACTTGCTTCATTTTCGTCAAATTCGAAAAGTTAATATGGCAGACAAAACTAGAAGATTTTCTCTACCAAACCGTTGCTAAAGCAGCTCTATACGTCCAGTATTCGAAAAATGGCCACGTTGAGGATTTTTGCAAAATTAACGAGGAAAATTTGTGATGAGTGCGAGTTTTTTACTTTCCTAAAGCCATAACTCCGTTCAAACTCATCCAATCCGAAAAGTAAATACGCCATCATAAACTAGAAGATTTGCTCTATCAAATGCTTACTAGAACTGCTCCAAACGTCCAGTATTAAAAAAACGGCTACGTTGAGGATTTTGCACGAGTACCGCCGAAAGGTACTTTTTCGCTACATTGGCACTATTTCAACGGCTGTATATCCTTTTAAGGGCGATTATGTACTAAAGTAAGAGCAGATTTGAAATCACTGCTTTTCTCTTTCTAAGAAAAGTGATTGATCAGTGTTTCTCAACTTTAAAGGTTACATGTTTATAAATTTAACCCTGAAGAGTCCGTTAACGCAGTGTTGAATGGTGTACACCTCCCTGTAAATGCGCACGGACACTTTCAGAATTCTCTCGATTGTTCCTGAATTGAGGTTGTTTGTCCAAGGAGCCGTAGTTGAAGCGCGCGCAACAACTAGACCCTTTCTCGGATGCGCCGTGTACCTCACATCCCTTCAGATTCGGGGTCTTACTTGAAAGATGAAATATCTCTTGGAAAGCGTGCGAAATTCAGATTCTTTAACTTGTGTGGTGATAAAACACTGAAGTAACTAAGAATTACCGGACGCCTCAGAATCACGAAAATTTTGTGTGGGTGAAATATCATTTTCATTGGAAATCCTCTGGCCTGGCATCGACTCATCCTTGATATTTGTCTTCCGACGGTGATGATCCCACTGCATCAAAATGGCTCGATCTCTTCCACCCAGCGGGCCAATACGACCCCCCCCCCCCTGCGACGTGTCGAGGATTCCTCAACGCACGCTTGACCCCTTTGCGCGA